TCAGCAGAGCACGTAAATGTGTGCTCAGCCTGAAGTCAATGGGCTTTGACTATGGTTTTTAAATTAAACTCTTAAGTGTATTGCTGCATGAGAGATGTCTTTATTTACTTTGAATGCTGATGTTTTGTACTGATAAGCTACTTGTAAGTGGTTAGGTGAGCAGTTCACAGGATACAACACACCTCCCCTTTTTAGGTCATCCTAGAAAATGAATTCCTTGGGTACCTGTTTAGATAGTAATGGATGAGCTTGAGGCTTCCTGTTCCCCTCTTCTGTTGGCAACACTTGTTCACCAAACACTGTAATGAAAAGCCTTCTTTGTGCACACAGCACATGTGAGGAAAAGTTGAAAAGTTTTATTTAAGTGCTCCCTCTGTAACGTCTTCGTAAGTAAATAAACTATATGGCAACCCTGACAACATAAAAATCAAAAGGAGATCTGGAAGAAATGGGTAAACAAAGAAATACTTCACCTAGACCGTTTTTTAAAAAGGTGGTTTCCTGCTCTCATTTTCATGACTTGAGGGGGAAAAAAAAATTTGCACAACAGCTAATACTGAAATCTATGGATAAAAATTCCTAGCTGTAACTGGAATGAGATTCAAGTTTAACAGCCACTCTATGGCTGTCACACACTGTGACTCTGTGACTATGGGGTGGAGGGAGCGATGATGACACAGAACATGGAACCAGACTCTTCTCAATGGTGCCCAGTGAAAGGACATGAGGAAAGGGACACAAATTGAAGTACAGAAAATTCCATTTAAATGTAGGGAAAAACTTTATTACTGTAAGTGATCATCACTGGACCAGATTTCCCAGGGAGGCAGTGGAGTCTCCATCCTTGGAGATATTCAGACCCCAACTGGACATGATCCTGGGCAGCCTGCTTTGAGCAGGGAATTGGACTAGATGATCTCCAGAGGTGCCTTCCAACCTGAACTGTTCTGTGATTCTGTGAAATAATTTGCTATTTTTAAAGATTGGAGGAGGAATCCTTCTTTTATCTAATAGATTACTAACTCAGAACCCAGTAGGTAGACTGGGTTACCTCCTTTGTCCAAAAGAACTGTAAAGTGCACTCTCCAACTATTTTTTATAGTGCTCCCACTCTCTCCTACTGATGTTATTTCACTTTCCTAAATGATTAAATATGTATTTAGGACTGTATTTCCAAAACAGCTTCTTAACCACCTTGCTGTTGGATAATTTGGGATTGCTCCATTATATGTGATGCAATGAGGAATACTTCCTATGTGCATACCACTGTGCATTAGGTGAGTGAGCCTTCAGCTGGGAAGTGGCATAGCTGAGTCCTAGTGTCATTCTGAAGGTTTAATTACTTGTCCAAAGTGAACTATATCTTCACATAACACATAATTAAGTTGTGGAACTCCTTGTTATGGGATTTTGCTGAGTGTTGGCAGCTACTGGAAATAATAATGGAAAAAAGCTGCCATGGAGTTCAGTAAATACACAGATTCCACCTTTGACTCAGGCATTCTGGAAGTCACAAGCTGTTGTAGAGTATTTGTGGGAAGCATCATTATATGCTTTTCCTGCTCTTATGTTCTACCCTAAACATCTGATATTGGCTACTGCCGGAGACAGGATACGGAGCTAGTTGGACCTTCAGTCTAGTGTGTTATAGTTCCCCTTATGCTCTTAGCACCAGCACTGGTAGGAAAGGATGTGGATGAACATCTTAGTGCTAGGGTGTCCTTTGGAAGATGTAGGCTAAAATCCCTGCAAGAAGAGATGAAATCTGAACCCTGTCACAGCCCTAGCTGTTGAGCTATTGGATAAAATGGAGCAGCACATATTTTTGGTAACTAGGCTCCATAACTTTATTTCCATTCAAAGCTACATGGTATAACGGAGCCAAATTCACTAACAGAGTAGCAAGGAGTGAAACCACGCTTTTCTTTGTGTGTGTGCGCATATACTTTTAATCAAAAAACCACATTTAAATGTCACAGGTCAACTTCTGAATGACCGTGAATGTGATTTGGTTTCCTTAGTTTCCTTAATCAAGATAGTAACAACTTTCTCATTTCTTAAGCTGCAAAGTACTTCCAATAAAAGCATTTTCAAGAACTTCTGATAAAAGCATTTCTGTTATTAAAATTGCATTTAATGGATAATGACCTACGTTAGCTGAGAATCCAATACCTATGTTAGCTGGAAATTGAGTTCCACTGTGTGCTTGAATGTGCAGTGCTGGGTGTGTGCCTAGGTCTGCAATGCTGTTAATGCCATTGCGTGAATGAGAGCAGAACATGAACCCAATGTTTATGGTCAGGGGAATTCGAAGGACTGAAGAATCAGTAAAAATTGTGCCAATTTTACCACTGAAGATTACAGCCCAAAATGTGTCCAAACCCTAGTGATGTTTCTTGGATTGGAGGGTTTAGATTTATGGAGTCTGGTTTTCGACCTGGACCTGAACTTCCTTCATGCTTAAGTTGTATGGAAATTTCCTGTTTGCTAAATTGTTCTTAGCCCTTCATAGTCAGCTCACAATGGAATTGTGGTGTGATAGAGGTTCTTTTGGATAGCAAATAGTGAGAGAGCGTATTTCAGTCATTTTATTGATATTACAAACTCTGTTGAGCTCAATTCAGAAAAATGTTACTTTAGGACAGAGCAAATAGAAGGAGAATAGCAGAAGAGGGCTTTGACTGTGGGAAAGAAAAGGAAAATCTTTTGGGGGTTGTCTCCATTTTTAAAAAAAAATCTTGAAGAAATTGAAATAGAGCAAACGGTCCAAAGCAGAAAAAGACTTTTAGACCCAGGATCCTCCTAATGCATGATCTGAATGTCACAAAGTTATGCCTGCTGAGAGTCAAGCGGGGCACACTAAATAATAGAAATGGGCAAAGTCAGCTTTTCAAGGTAGTGAAAAAGTTTGAATGAATCCAGTGACCTGGGAGGGCTTTCATGCTATTCATGAGTTGGAGCTCTGTGGACTGATAGAGCCCAGTCTGCTCTCGCTGTAAGCAGGAGTAACCATTGAGAGGAAGTTGACTTGAAGCTCTTGGTTGCTCTTTTCAGACCTTGATGATTAGGGATGTCCTCTTACGTGGCTCTTTTCTGCTGTGTGATACATGCATAGTAACGCTAAGTATCAAAAGGGGATTGAGATCTCTTTCGAATCTAATACTGAAACTTCTAATGGAATGAATGAAAATCTTGGCTTTGGCCAACCCAAAGTTTTCAATAATATAAATCACTGTCAGGTGTCTATAAAACCTAGACCAGACTGTAAAATTGTTTTTGAAATTGCTGAATAGTCATTTACATCAAGAGTCATCAGAAGTCCATGAGTTTCCAGTGAATAACCAGAAATTAATACAAGTAACGGCCCCACACTATGATCTTAAATTACTGAAAATAGGCTTCAGTGATTTTTAAATAATCCATTTCCTCTGTTGGCACCAGGATGTTCTGTATGAAGGTCCTTGGGTCTAACGAGAATGGACCATGTGAGGCGCTCTGAAGAAAGCTTACAGTTTTTATTTTTACTCTGGTGGGTCTGTATACTACCAAGTGGTAGCGGAATGCAGGGTGAGTCTTCAGGGGGAAAAAATACCCCATTTCAATGAAGCTCATTCTTACAGTATTTACTGGTATCCATTATGAGTTTCTACTAGATCACCCACAAATTGTTGTACTGTCTTTGTACAAGGGTGGCAGCTCTTTTGTTCTGCTCTCTGAATTGACACTTATAGAATTGTTGTCATGCTGGTTCAGAGCAAGGGTCCATCTAGGTTAGTACACTACCTCTGACCGAAACACTGAGACAGTCACTTACAGTAAAGCAAGCGAAAGCAGATGAGTGTGGAATGGCTCTTCCTTTTATGTGCTCTCCCAGAGTCTGGCAATCTTTGCTTTGGGACTTTCTAAGATAGAGGTCACATCCAGACTGTCATATCTCATAGCTGATGAAACTATCCTCCATGATTTTTTTTATTCCTTCTCGAATCATAGTTCTTGTACAACAATAAACAACATTTACTGTTTAAAAACCATTCAGGACCTTTCTCATATATCCTGCCTCAGTCATCTCTCTTTTTCAAATGGCAAAGTCATACTCTAGATAGCCTCCAGATGGGAACTGTGCCATAGCTCTGATTGTTATTCGTGTCCCTTCCTGGGGCTCTTCTTGAGAAAGGGTAACCAGAACTTCATGCAAAACTGAAAACATAGATATACCATATATTTATATGTGTGACCTAGATAGAACCTAGATTTTTCCCAAATGATTCTTAACTTGCCTTTTGACAACTGCTGGCTAGTCAGCTAATATTTTCAGAGGAGCTCTTCCTCAGACTCCAAGATGTCTTTCCTGAGTGTTATTGACTGATTTAGAGTTGATCACTCTGTGTATACAGATACAAGTTGTTTGTGTTTTTTTTTTTCCCCTGTACCTTTACTTAATGAACACTGAATTCAGTCTGCCCATAGAAATTCATTACTATGAACTCTTTCCCCAGTTCTTTGTATTGACTTCAGATTTTATTATAATGAAGAGTTTTGTATCATCTACAGACTCTGTCTTCTCACTGTTCATCTGCTTTTGCAGAGTGCTTTTATGAATATGTTGAATACTACAGGTCTCAGTGTAGATCCTTAGGGAGGTACGCTGGAAACCTTGCTCTGTTATGAAAACTCATCGCTGGTCTGATGCTTTGCTTCGTCTTTTACCAATCACAAGAGAATGTTCAGCTTAGCCTGTATCAGCTTCACTTCTTAAAGAGGTTTTAGTGAGTGACTTTGTTGAGAGATTTTGGGAAATCAAAGTCTGCGTCAAACTCTTAATTTATAGAGCTGTTGATAGTGGGTTTTGTCGGTCTCTTGCAAAATTTTTCTGTTTTATTCCATACTTTAAAAACCTTTGTAGGGGTGTTGTTAAAGAAGACTTTACTAAAGAGAAATGATGACTGTGCAATAATTATGCCATTGCTAAACAATATTCTTTATTTTCTATTTCTGTGCAGTGATCACCTCTATTTTCTGGAGTCATCATTTTGAATTCATCAGCAGCTGGTTTGTTACTGAAAAGCTCAGAATATTTCCTCTGATTGCCTTCCTGTGAGTATGATCAAAGCAGTTACCTCAGATTTCCTTGCCTGTGGTATTCAGGAGGTTTTTCTGTATCCGGTTTTTGTATTGATGCTTTTATATTGGATTTTTTTTTTCATCCTGTGTGCTTGCTTTCTTCTTTGGGGCCTGATCCAAATCCCTCTGAAAATCAGTAGACAGCCCTGCAGTCAGACCCTTGACTCCTATTCCTCTGGGATCACTGTCACCAGAGATTACTTTATTCAGAACTGATAGTAGATATAAAGGATTTTATCTTGAATTTTATCTTCATATAAAAATCTTTAAATTTTGCAGTAATCATTTTGTGGGTGTATGGCTGTTCTTTTAGTAGCTATATTTATTTCTCTGCTGGATTTCAGCAAAATTTTTGCCTGCAATGGGAGTCTTAAATCGTATTTACTTGTGTTAAGATCATGTGCTGGTGTGTTACTGTCCTGTTTTGTCTTCTGTTCTTTTTTTAAAGCAAGCAGGCTCTTAGGAGTCTGTGAGAGTCCAAGTAACCGTGTTTACTGACTATTTACAACGTGTAAGACTTAAACATTTTTTACAAACTGTTCTTTCACTGCCAGAACAAGCGAGGGCTCACAAACCATTTAAAAGAAGTGTTTATAATGTGTGTAAACTTCGGCCCCTCGATATATGGAAATTCCAGACTGGAGACAAACTGAGGACTGGCTCTAAGTTTAAGCAGTGCCTATGACAACAGACTGATGGGGTCAGAAATATCGCACTGGGGTCAAGGCAACTCCCTTAGATACCATCATCTTCAGTTAATTCAGGCTACAGCGAGCTGCTTATACTCACTGATGAGTGACTATGTTCTCTGTGTGCCTGGACCTCCTCTGTACCTCTGCTCCATTCCCCCTCTTTTTGGCAAGAGCAGTGTGGAGGAGGAGAGAGACATGGCGGCAGGCTGAACTCTGGCTGCATTGCCTTCCGTCTCCATCAGCCTTCCCCCCCATCAGAATGCTGGGTCTGGGCCCGTTTTAGCTGTTTTTGTCATCGTTCCTGGGGAAGAGAATTTAACTTTGCCTACACTTCTGAGAATGTTTGTGCAAGTGCTGAATGGGCTGATAATTGTTGCAGGCTGTTCTCTGCCCTGGTTGCTGTTTCGGAGTTCTGCATTACTTTCAAGCCTTTGTGGGGAGAGTATTTAAGACTGAAGCCAGATACAATCTGGGATTTCCAGTCTGTAGGAAATGTTGATGTTCCAAAATTAGGATTTCTTTCTGATTCAGAACCAGCCTAAATGTTCTAGAATTTCCTGTGAAACGCTTCTTCCAGTGAGATCACTGAATTTAAGTTCCCATGTGCTTCCTTGGGTGGTGCATTTATGAGGTACCTAAATTCCCTAAAAATTTGACCCAAGGAGAGGGAGGCAATACTGTCCAAAAACAAATGGGATCAGAAATGCAAGTGCTCTCCCCCTGTGCTTAGGATAGGCTATTCAAAGAGAGCAGTGACTGCCCTCCAGAGTTTTTCTGACAGCTCGGCAACTGGAGTTGTATTTGTAGACATGTCTGAGCATGCAGTCTGTGGTGTTGAAAGAAGGCACTTCAGTCCCTCAAAACTGAGACTGTGCTTCAGTGTGTTTCTGAGCTGGTGCTGGTGCCTTACTTTGATGGATACATTGCATTTGAAAATCTGTCCTTCAGGGACTCATTCATCTGCTCCAAGTGTAGGATGCAGGGCGAGTGTCATCTGTCTCATGCTGAAGTCCCCATGGTGCTTGCACAGTACTTGTCAAAGTGGTGGAAGAATTCTGTCTTGAGGAAGGAAAGGCAAAATAGGAAAGGCAAAATCTGATAATACTTTTTACACTTAACCTCCTCTTTCACATTGTAAAGCTGGCCAAATAGGAGGATGGTCTTTAGGGGACGTGAATGGAAATACCATGAAAAAGGCCATTAGTTGCCTTTAGAAAATCATTAAAGCAAATGGTGTGGACCAATACACTCATTTGGAAAGGAAAAAACAAGCATTATCTCTGTAAAGTACTGGAAACATGGCACATCTGTTTATCTGAATATAAAAAGCAATAATATAGTTTAGTATTTTAATGACAGTCCTGTAACTCTTCTGTTAGTTCTTGAATACAGCCAAATCTGACTTTAGAAGACAATCTGAGACACGCTTATATAAATTACTTTCAAAAATAAGTGATACCCTATAAGGTTAAGGTTCAAAGTCACTGGCTAGCGATGATTGGTTTTTATCTTCCTTGGAAACGTACATTTTGTTAAAAGTCAAGATGTTTGCCATTAGGAACACTGTAAGAAATGTTTTGGTCAGCTTTTCTCTTAAATATTCAAGACTAAAAGCATTTCTGTAGAGTCTCTGAAGACATTTTTCTATGGCTTTATTGTGACGAATTAAACTGAGATGAGCGTAGGGTCTTCCTTCTCTCATCTGTCCTCTCTGCTGCTTCGAAGAGGAGGCGCAACACTCAATCTTGCCCGAATTTCCCTGTAGCTTCTGGGACTTCAGGTGACCTCTACGTGCAGCCAGGGCACTTTTTGGTAAAATCTCTTTTGCAAGATATGAGAACCTGGTGGCTTTGGTGTTGCGTTGCGTTCCTGAAGAGGTGTTAAAGACAGCTCTGGAGTTTAGTTTAATACCAGAGAATCAAGCTTGGGAAGTAGTAGTGTCGTTCTTCCTGATGCAATTCACAGTCCCACGAAAATGTGATGGCTGCCTTTGGCTGCTGAGCCCAATTGGTGGGCATCATTTGCTAGAAAAGTCTTATTGCTTGTAAGAAATTTGGAGCTAACAGGCAGCTGAAACAAAGAAAACCAGAGCATCATTTAGATATAGAAAGTTATGCTTCATTTAAGGGTGAACCAAAACAAGTAAACCTGCTGTGACTCATCCAAGATTTTGGATGAAGAATATTTTTTATTTTCCAGGAATTACACCACCTAGGAATTGTAAAACTGACACACTGAGTAGTTGAAGAGAAATCTGCTTCTAATAAACCATGTCTTGCCAGACAGAGGTTTAAGAACATTGAAAAAAAAAAAAAAAATCTGAACAAGCACAAGGATCATATGTAGGGGCAGAGTCACTGCTGTGCTCGGAGTAAAGGGAGTGGAGTTGATTATCTGCATCTTCCCAGTAGGTAGAGAGCAGATATAGCTCGCTGGAGAGGATGTGGCAGGAGCATGCTGTGCTTTGGCTCTGTTCACTGGCAAGGAGTCCATCAGAGAGCAGTGCCAAGCACAGCTTAGGCACAGCAGAAGCTGTATCTTACTGTCTTCTGCTCAGTATTAACCTTCTAAGGCAGGAAATGCGTGCACTGAGGGAAAGATAGGCTGGGAGCTGGGATTCTTCAGTCTTCATTGACAACTGCCCTTTCACAGCTCTGTCACAATAAGCTCTCCTGTCACTTTAAAACTGCATTACTGATACTGCTGCTTTGAACTTCCCAGGGACGTTGTTCACTTGGTGTACGTAAGTTTACAGAGCAGACCAATCTCTTTCTGATAAATGGGGCAATTGTTCAGAACCTTGATAATCATTATACTGTGCAGCATTAAAAAAAAAAAAAGATTAAAAAAAGTTCCCTTCTCAGGATGTTGTGAGATTTTCCTTGCCTACATTTTGATGACGCTTTCAGATTGTGGGATGAAAGAGCCTTGGTCAAATACTTCTAGATCATCTGGAAGTGGGAAGTAGCTGAAATCTCAAAAGAGTATCTTGTCTCCAGCTAATGTTGTAGACTCAGGTGCTGTGGAGGGTAGCCTCAGAAGTGCACCAGCGCTGTTAGATGTTTATCTGAACTGAGCTTGAACTCCCAATCTCTGGATGTTCCCCCATGCCTGTTTTCCAAGAAGAGCCTGATCTTTGCAGCTCTTTCTCACAAGAGTGCTGTGGGTTTGGAGCTGTTAAATCTTTGGCCTGACTCTCACTTTCACTAAAGTCCCTTTACACAGTTCAGGCATTCTGCTTCGGGGATCTTAAAATGAGAGTAGATGACATTTAATAGCATAAATGAGAAACAGGTCCCTTAAAAAAAAAAAAGTTAAATTGGCCTTCCCTAAATTGTTGAGTGCTGACCTTGAAAAAACCTTTAAAGTCTCTGCAGGCAGACTGAAATTTTTTTAGAAGAACAGATATCCCAAACTGCAAGAGATTACCTGAGGCAAGTAAGTTGTGAGTTTTTTTCTTTTCTTTTTAAGAGAAAATTCTTTTCCATTACACTTGGTACCCACATGTCTATTTTAAAGCACTATTTATTTGTCACAGAACTTCAGAATTGCTGGTGTAATTTTCTCATTCTTTAGGATTTTTTTTTTAAATTTACTAGTTTTAAACATTTTCATATATTCTGGTTATGTGAAACATGTTAAAGATTCCATTTGTATTTTGAATATTGGGGTTTTTTTAATGTGGGAGGCAATGTTTAAATATGTTTTGAGAAGGGGGGAGGCAAGAAAAGCTGTCATCCATCAACTGGTATTAAGTCCAACTTCGAAAGTTTGATACAAACTGAATCTGACTGTTAGTGCAGACATGATACAAATTAGCTGTGACTTTATGATACCAGCTGTTTCTCTGACAGGGTAAAAGGGCACATAACTAGAATAGCATCTTTTGTTGAAAGCAGTGTTTCCCTTTGTTAAATGTGGGAGCCTCTGGCAAAAAATTGTAGTCCTTAGTTATGTGACATGTGCAGTCTGCAACATGTTCGTGGAGCTCGGGGGGCTTTTTACTTGATGTTTTTAAAAGACAGGGTTATCATAAGTGTTCTATTTTCACTAGTTTTATCACTGAAAGACAAATCTCTGTCATGTTTTTGCCTTGTGTTAAAACTGAGGATAATCTAAGCACTATTTTCCTACAAGTACAAAGAAAATACTGAACAGCAAAACCAGAGAAAAGTCTGCAACAAAGAAATCACAAATCTCAAAGTAAAATTTAGTTTCATTAATTATTTTCATTAATTGATTCCCCTCAGTTATTTTTTTTCTTACCAGAATTTTCAGGGG